AAGGTCCCTTCCGACCCTACTTCTATGATTCTATGAAACTATAAGACTAGTTTTTTTCCCCCATGCAGATTCGGGGTTAGGGGGGACCTCTTCTTATATTCAAGTAAATACAGTAGAAAACGTCTGGTGCTCAAGCCTGAAGAAATCTCCTCACTGTCTATGTCACACCATTTATCCTCTGTAATGCTACTTTGTAAATACTTATACCATTTGTAAATAATTTATAAAATCCCTAAAAGATAAATAGTAAGCAACCCTAATTTAAGCCTCACAGGGCAAGTTTATTCATTAAAGTAATGACTTGAACTCTGGTGCATACTGTACTGGAGCTTATTGCTCCTGGGCACAGCATCTTCATATATGCCAGGAACCGCAGCACACTGAGCTGGGTCAGAGCTTCTCCAGCTGACAGGAGCCCGGGGGTCAACCTACCAGCCCAGGGCTGCTCCAACCTGGCTCAACGTGCTTCAGAGGTGCTGGCTCAGGAAAGAGGGTGCTCAAGTGTAGGGCTGACCAGTAGGCAGCCCCTGCACTGAAGTGCCCTCATGCTTCAGCCAGGCCTGTCAGCATCTACACATACACTGCTGCACACTGAAGAACACTGCCACAGGATAATATTTGTGTTTACAAGTGGTATGGCAGAATTAATTTGTTTCCTGCAGCCAAATAGGGCCACATGTATAGATGCTGAGACTTTACTGCACAGCTAATTAGACAGCTCCACAGTAAACATCTCATGTAGATGTGCCCACCTGAAGCAGCTTTGTGACAATAACTGCTGAGGAGCCCACTAAATGGTTGAAAGAAAACTTTCCTGGTGTTGATGCTCAAAAGCCCTGAGACAGAACAAAATATATGAAGTACGCTAAAGAAATTAGAGGAGAGAAATGTGCATCTGAGAAAACGGCCAGAGGGTTATTTTAAAAATATTTACAGACACTGCTAGAGCAATCTCTATTGCCTGATCTCCTATGGTCCTCTTCTCTAGTTTCTAAATCTGGTTTGGACCTGGTTTGGTCAAATATAGGAAATCTGCCAACAGAGTATAGAATCCAGGTCTCCAGATTTCCAGTCATGTGGTGTAGAAAAAAAAAAGCCCTTGGGTTTAAAGGAATTCAAGGGGGAATCGAGAGACTTGGATTCAACATTCAGCTTTGCCACTTACCACTGACCAGACTCCAGGCAAATGACTTAATATCTCTGTTCCTCACTCCGTATTTCACTTCCCTCTTCAGGGCACTGCCAAATTAAATTCATTAAAGTTTGTGAGGCAGACAAATATAATGACTGAAGCCAGACAAGTATACAGGCAGACCTCCTCAGAGATTTAAAAAAAAGATCTAAGAATACAAGAGAGTGTTGTGGGAAAGTTTGGGGTTGGGGTCATACTAGAGTTTAATTTTAACATGAATTTAATATGGCTATTGCAATATCTCAAATACAATTCAAGAATCCAGAGACACTTAAACAAAATAGATTGGGAAAAAAAATCTATCAATGGGTTTCAAACTGTGCTCTGTGGAGCTTTCTAATGGTACGGAGAGCTATTTCCGTTTCTTCACAATAACGAAACATTTCATGGTCTTCAAGCAGTGACACTTCCCATCTAATTCTGGACAAACTTGCAGTAGCCAGAGGCTTTCTCAACTGACACACACACAAAGCATCTTGTAATCAGCATTACTGCTTAGGCCACTGCTTAGAGAGGGTTCCCCCCCCCCATAGTCAAATCAGCCAAACTGAACTTACTGAAAATCATACAAATAAAAGGATGTTGCATATTCCCTTCCAGACTTAACAGCTGCCTGCCTACCCTTACCAGCATATGTTTTACATTTTAATCCCTTAAGGGCATGTCCAGATGAGTGCAGATATCTGCAGCGTCACATATTGCACATTCACTGTGCTGCAACGGAGCAGTGCCGTGGGGCAGGAGGGGGGGGGGGGTGACCCCTGGATATCTAGAGGTCAAAAAAGCCTGCACCAAAAAATAAAGCAGAGTGGTACACACAGGGGGCAATGCACACTGCCCAAAACCAGAACCTGATTGACCAGAGGCACACTCTGGCTGCCAGTCAGGTTCCAAGTGACAGGACCCCAGGTAAGGCTGCTGGGGCCAGCCCAGTGCTGGCCCCAGCCTTCCCTCCCCTACCCAGGGTAACTTGCTGTGCGTCAGAGAGCACATGACACAGGCATTCCCTGGGGACAATCAACAGCAGCACAGCTGTCCCCAGGGAACCAAACATCCATCCTTGTGTGGACGCAGCCTTACATGACAATTATTATAATGAAAATTAAATCTGTCGTTACACAATTTCTCTCACATAACCCCTAGAGATGTCTTGTGTATCCTCACCGGTATGTATACTATGGTTTTGGAATCCCTGATTTAGACTAAATCAGCATTATTTTCAGCAAAACAGTTTCCATGATAGAACCTTGACCTTAAATGAGGTGGAACAGGAAACAGTCCAAGTCTCTTTCTACTGGTATTGACTATATATAAAAGTGAGATAAAATGTATTTAGAACATATCATGTTAGAAGCAATTTACGCAGCATGATGAGAAGATGGTTTAAAATGTGGTTTTTATCACTCACTCGGCTTTGCAGAATAAGGTTGAGATTTCCAAACATGCCTAAAGAAGTTTTGAACCAAATTCCTTCAGGCAGTTTTGAAAAATTCCATCCTATATCTTGCAATCCAACTTGCTATCGAGTTGGACTGAACACTTCCTTTTTCACAATTAGTTTATTCTTTATTTCTGGTTATCAATAGGTGTACCATATAACAACATATTATTTAGCTATTGCTTCTCAGAACTGTTCTTATATGTTCAGGTTTCTACACATCAGTACGTTCTAGTTTAATTCTTTTTTTTCTTAAGGATGTTTAGTTTCATAAGGAAAGGACACGGTGTCACAAGCAAACACTTCAGACTAGTTTAATAAGGAACTGCTGGAAGCCACCTTTGTCCGCCCTGCCTATTTAAACTATGTGCTCTCCAAGTCTTACTTGGAGCAAAACAAAACTTGGAATTTACTTTCATTCCGAAAAAGAGCAAAGTTAAAAACAACTTTTGGCAAAACAAAATTAAAGCAAAAAATTAAAAAGTAAAACGAATTCTTTTTCATATTAATATAAACATAAATATTCTTTAAAAATATACAAACCAAAGTGCAAAAGGTTTGACCTTATCAAAATGAAACCTTTTGACAATTACCCATCAAAACCTGACAAAACTGATGCATTCCCAATTGTGTTAAATAAAAATTTTTCTGACAGAATTCCCCTGAAAAGTAAATGAGGCCTTTTCTTATTCAGTTGTACTGTGTCCAGCACAAACTGGATCCTACTTTTAGTTATGGAATCTAACAGACTGAAATGCACATATTAGAGAATAAGAACTTTATTTTTGCTAGGTTTGTGGGCCATTAGTTTAATTCTAAGAAATCTTCTGAGAAGGTAGTAACAAATTTGTACTGAAGGCTAGGAAAGGCAGAAATGGAAAGAGATGAGCCAGAGGCCAACATTCAGGTACATTCATTTTTGTCAAGCCTCCTCTAATATTAAGTCCTCTGTCATCCCCTAAAAGAGCATGCAGATTGTATCAGCTGATGTGCTCGTACATCCAAACACACTAAACTTAATTTTGAATACAAGGAATAATGAAACGAATTAGTGCTTTCGTAAAACATAACAAAAACAAACAAAAAACCCTCAGCTAAATATGAACTAGATGAGGGTGGTTATAGGAGATGGAAGTGAAGTAAACAATGGATGAAATGCATCTCCAGCCAAGCACTACCATTAATGAAATCATTATTGAACTGTCTTAGTTACACTTTCCGTATTAGGCATCTGCACTTATTTTATAGAGGCTTGGCACATGCTAAACAATTATGCATACTCAAAAATCACCACAATGACTGGTATTTTATAAAAATTATTTAAGGAGGTTCAGAGAAGGGGACAGAGTCACTTACCCTGTATAAAGCAGGAATGATGTGGTGCATTTTAAGTTTATGAAACACAAATACATCATAAACTGCTGAAACTGCTAAAACAGTCACTCCTTGCTCCTTCCACAACATGCTGCACCCAGCACATAGTCCTGTTCCCAAGATCCATCCCCAAGTGCTGGTTGAATAGCTTCTCGTAGAGCAGTGTTTAACGTAACACATCAACGAGAGCAGAAAAAAGAGGCAGGCTCCAACATCAGCTCTCCCCACAATCCCTGCTACTGCTTCTGTGTGGATGGGATGAGAAGCAAACAGCAGGCCTGCAACTAAAGTCCAGTACCCATCGCCAAACAATATTCTGGAGAAGTTTGTAAAAAAACCTGTGACTGCAGCATGTAACAGGATATTTACAAGATGGTAGCCCCATGGGTCCATGCCTCCAAAAGCATGATTAATCCGAAAGGAAAGTGTGCAGAGAGGTCTATATGACTTGTGGCTTCCACTGTGGGTAAGAAGAGTTCCCCAAAAATCATTGTAGAATATGTGAGTCCAGGGTGTTTCTGGCAGAAGATCCTGATTTGTCTTGATAGCTCGGCTATTAAAGAGACAAAAAAGAGGGGAAAGAAATTAATCAAATCAATCAATCATTACATTACTATAGCACTAGCAGTGTATAGAGGTCTTTATTTTGTCATTCTTTATGCTATTAAAGAAACAATAGCACTACTCTGTGCTACTTTGCATTTTGAATTTCTACTAGAATACCATAGATGTTAGAAGTGTCTGCATCTATTGACTTTTTGCTAAAGTACATTTCCATATAAATTGGCTTTTAAAACATTAGAAACAGATGTTATGCTGGATCCATTAAATTAAAACACCCTTCAATGACATTCATCTGAGTCTAACCCAGGAGCAATTGCTTAAAATTTGATCGGTTATAATAAAAGAAATATGAAGAACTGACAAACTGATAAATACTATTGAACAAACTGATCCTCTAGCAATTCAAAAGCAAAATCTCAACTAGCCCCTTATTCTGAAATTTTAATGCAGATGTTCTATGAATCTCATTGACATGGATGAGCAATATATAAATAAAGTCATACAATGTATGCAAATTGTGTCACTAAATGAGGCAGTTCATGGACATCCCTGTGCTTATTTTGTCATACTTGCATTCTTCATTAATGCCACAGTAGGGGCTTAAGGCAAAGTATCTTAAAGATAAAGTTCCAACTTTAGGTTCATTTTCTTACATTTGTGGCTGGTTAAATAGCAATTTTAAGGTGTGTTAGTTTACAGTTTCATGTTATATCTACTTTATTGTAGAAGTAAACTACTACAAAGCCTTAATTTAATTCTCTTTGTGATCTGTATGCCTGATCTCAATGCAACAGAAACCTATGCACCATAACGTTTGTGAAATTACTTATTACAAATCCAAAAATCCTCACTTACAGTTACAAACACATTATGGGGAAAAATTTTAGATGGGTAAAACACAAGATGATGGCCACAGTTCAACTAAGTTTGCCTGCATATCTGCAGTAATGTTTTAACAACTCTGTTTAACAACAGCAGTTTTCAAGAAGCCTTATTTCATAGTTTCATAGTTTCTAGGGTTGGAAGGGACCTGAGCAGATCATCGAGTCCGAACCCCTGCCATGGCAGGAAAGAGTACTGGAGTCAAACAAACCCAGCAAGGTGTTCATCTAACCTTCTCTTAAAAACTCCCAGGGTAGGAGCCTCCACCACTTCTCTTGGAAGTTGGTTCCAGACCCTAGCCACCCTGACCGTGAAGTAGCGCCTCCTGATATCTAACCTAAACCTACCCTCTGCCAGCTTGTGACCGTTATTCCTGGTCACTCCTGGCAGTGCTCGGGGGAACAGTGACTCCCCCAATGCCTGCTGACTAGTTTATAACAGGCCACAAGATCCCCCCTCAGCCTTCTCTTATTCTAACTATGCAACATAGAATATTATTAGCATTTTGAAATACTTGTATTGTGAAGGAACCTATGCTATGTCATGACATGCCAGAATATACCACAGTGAAGTAAATTACAACTGGTCCATTCATGCTACACCCTGACATGCATGCACTAGAGCTGTGTGAACAGGTGCCAACACACACCTTGAAGATAATGAGTTTATTGACATATGCACAGAACCACTTGAAATAGAGACTAGAATATATCCATTCAATGATTTAGTACACGTTAAGCACTTATTACTTCAATATAGCACTACCTGAACTGAACTTAGCAGCTAACCAGGTTTAGGACCAAGTATGCTAGGCATCTTAAAAATAAATTATATGTAAAGACCACAGCTGATGCAATTCATTTGCCAAGTGACTTATTTTAACCCTCAGATACCACCGAATTTGCACTGAAGAGAACACCCG